GAAAGGTTGAGTAGATACGGCCTGTCCTCATTGGTGTTTAGAAGAATAAGAGGTGACTTTATTGAAGATTATTAGAGGAACCTGACAGGGGAGATGCAGAGTGAAGTTGTTTCCCCGTGTGTGGGAGAGTGTATGACCAGAGGGGCATCATCTCAGAATAAGGGAGGCCTCCTATTGAAGTTGGAGATATGGAAGAATTTATTTTCTCTGAGGGGAGCTAATCTGTGGAATTTTTTTTACCACAGAGGGCTGTCAAAGCTGAGATGGTGATTTTTAATCAGGAAGGGGAATTGAGGGTGATGGGGGAGAGGTGGGGGGGAAGGCAGGAAAGTGGAGTTGAGGATGATCAGATCAGCTATACTCCCATTGAAGAGTAGAGCAGACTCGATGGGCTGAATGGCCTATTCCCACTCCTACTTTTTATGATCTTCACATTCTGAGGATAACCAGGTTACATGAACCGTGCAGTTGCAAAAACTTGCACAGAGTCAGGCCAAATAACACAGTAAGAGGCCACTCACAACCAAATGAGCTGTGGTAAGAAACTGGTCTCGGGATCTGAGCAGAGATGAATGTTGGTGATCTACCAATTACAGAACCCTCCTCATGAAGTTAACCCTCCTCAATCCCAGCAGCTAAATTTGGACAGAAAAACTGGGGCTATTCCAACAGCAATACGAGATGACATGTGATGTCTGTTAAACTGACAGACGCATTTCTGACTAATTGTCATTGACTGATGTATTCTCGATGGTGACCAGAGTGCCAACTCATCTCCTCTCTTCCGTTGCCAATTTCGATTTGCTTCCCTTTGAGTAGGCACTCTTGCAAAATGTCCTGATCAGTTTCAAGATGTCAACCGAAAGGCGCCATTTTCATTTGGCCAGATCACCGCAAGTGAAACTTGGTTTCCATCCTGTGTCAGTCTCTCCCCACATCCCCAATGCACCCCCCACCTCAACCTGGTCCCTTGGTTGACTCACTCTGGACAGTGACTTCTACCCAGAGGGACAGGAACGTCGAAAGGTTCTGGAAAATCGCACAGCGGTACCATCCCGAATCCATTAGGGTTGCTTGGTGGATGTGATAGACATTGTGAGGCATGGAATCAGGGTTCAGGAGGGTCTCATTTCTGTAGAAGGAAACTTGTCCTCTTCCACACACATGATCCTGGGTACACCGACAATTCAATGTGACGGAATCACCATCTCTCTGTAGTCTGGGATCCACTTGTAATGTCACCGGACTTTCTGAAATTGTTAGAGCGATTAAACGTTTTGTGACATAAACCATGGGATTTTGATTAATCATTTTCAATGTCTGTTGCTTGGATAACTGCTTCGCAGCTGTAGGGAGTGTAATAAGGTCAGTAGCGTGGACCTTATAGGAAATAAGTTCCCCGATTGGAGCTGTTTTCTTGGTCCAAATAGAGTTCTGGGTGAAAGGCATAAACGGGTGTGTCAGTGTTTCTGCTCACTCTCGAAGCGAGCCCTGAGCTAGTTGGGTCAGTGTCATGTACTATACAAGTGTAATTAAAAGGTGACTTGGTGACTAGATACTGGCCTCTGCGGAGTTATTTCAGCAGCAATTAACTGATGCATTTTCATCTCTGCATGTGATGTTAATCATTATCTCGCAAGTACTTTTGACACCATTCCTTCTAAAGCAGTTTAGAAACCTGGATATAGACTGAATGGCTTTATGGATCAGCGAATGTTTGCTGCATTTTGATTGCTTTTTGTACGAATGATTAGCAGTGCAGTTCTGAGAGACCCTTTGGGATGAGCAATCATAACATTATAGAATTCTTCAGTAGGATGTTGAGTGAGATTCTGGGACTAGGTTCCTGCATCTTATTAAGGAAAACTACAATGGTATGAGGTGTGAGTTGACTATGATAGTTGAGTTGATAGTCTAAGTGAGTGGGCAAAGGTCTGGCAGATGGAGTATAATGTTGATAAGTGTGAGGTCATCCATTTTGGTAGGAATAACAGCAAAATGGTAAATGGTAAAAAGTTGCAGCACGCTGCTGTGCAGAGGGACTTGGGTGTCCTTGTGCATGAGTCACTAAAAGTAGGATTACAGGTGCAGCAGGTAATTAGAAAGGCAAATGGAATTTTATCTGTCATTGCTAGGGGGCTAGAGTTTAAAAACAGGGAGGCTATGCTGCAGCTGTATAGGGTCGTGGTGAGGCCACACCTGGAGTACTGTGTGCAGTTTTGGTCTCCTTACTTGAGAAGGGATATAGTAGTACTCGAGGGGGTGCAGAGGAGATTCACTCGGTTGATTCCAGAGTTGAGAGGGTTGGATTATGAGAAGAGACTAAGTAGGCTGGGTTATACTCATTAGAATTCAGAAGAATGAGGGGAGATCTCATAGAAACATATAAGATTATGAAGGGAATAGATAAAGTGGGGGCAGGGAGGTTGTTTCCACTAGCAGGTGAAACTAGGACTAGGGGGCATAGTCTCAAAATAAAGGGAAGCAGATGTTGGACTGAGGTCAGGAGGAACTTCTTCACCCTCAGGGTTGTGAATCTGTGGAATTCCCTGCCCAGTGAAGCAGTTGAAGCTACCTCGCTGAATGTTTTTAAGGCAAGGCTAGGTAAATTTTTGAACAGTGAAGGAATTAAAGGTTATGGTGTGCGGGTGTGTAAGTGGAGCTGAGTCTCAAAAAGATCAGCCATGATCTTATTAAATGGCGGGGCAGGCTCGAGGGGCCAGATGGCCTACTCCTGCTCCTAGTTCTTATGTGCTAATGATGGATTGGGAAATGTTACCGAAAGGATTGACAGTGGGTAGGCAGTGCCAAACATTCAATGACAAATGGGTGAACTACAGAAATTATTTATTACAACCTGACTCAAGAGTGCAAAGAGAAGAGTGGCCAAACCATGGCTTCCGAAAGGAGTTGAAGATGGTATTAACTGAAAAAATAAAGGCATAAAAATTGGCAAGAAAGAGAAACAATAGCCCTGAGGATTGGGAACAGTTAAGATTTCAGCAAGAGAGGACTAAAGGATGCATTGAGAAAGGTAAACTAGAGAATGAGTGTAAGCTTGCAGGGAACAGAAAAAAACTGACTGTGAAAGCTTCTGCAAGTATGTAAAGAGAAGAAGTTTGGTGAAAACTAATGTAACTCTCTTGCAGTCAGAAACAGGGGACTTTATAATGGGGAACAAAGAAATGGCTGATAAACTAAATTCATAATTCAATTATGTCTTCACACAGGAGGATATAAAAAATGTGCTAGAAATGATAGTGAACAAAGAGATTGGTGAGATAGAAAAGGTAAAGAAATACTGCTGGGCAAATTGATGGGATTAAAGGGTGATAAATCCCCAGGGACTGACAACCTACATCCCAGAGTGCTAAAGTAACTGGCCTTAAAATTAATGGATGCATTGATGACCATGTTGCAAGATCCTACAGACTCTGAAACAGTTCCTACACATTACAGGGTAGCTGATGTAACCTTACTATTTAAAAAGGGAGGTAGAAACAAAACTGGGAATTATAGACCAGTCAGCCTGACATTGGTATTGAGTGTATCAGGGATTGGGAGATGTTGAGGGTTCAATATTAGCCATCATTTCAAGCCAACATGGGTCAGTTTAACCTGCATGGTGGGATAAAACCAGAAGCATTACAGCCAGCAACTGATGTCAGATCCAGCACCGTGCTGTTATCAGCTAGAATTAACTGCTCAGTTACTGCTTATTAATGCCAATCAATCAGCGTTATCCTTTTGGCACCTGAAGTTCATTTCCCTCTAGATTTCATGGGAATTAAATCAATCAAATTGTGTGACCAACTTACAAAATCCCATCCACATCAAATTTGGGGTGCTACATTAGTTTGGATAAAGGATTGGCTAGCCAATAGACAACAGACAGTCAGGATAAATGGATTTTTTTTCTGTTTGGCAAGTTATAATGAGCGGGGACCACAGGGTTAAGTCCTTGTCCCTAACAATTTATAATGTGTATGTATGACTTGGGTGAAGGGATAAAAGATAACACTGAAATAGTTGGGAAACAAAGCTGCAATGAAGAAATAACAAATAGAAATGGATAGGTTAGGTGAAGGTACCAACATTTGACGTGGAAAAGTGTGTGGTTGCCCATTGTAGTCAAAGGACTAGAAAGGCAACTTATTATTCAAGTGGGAGAGAAACTTCAGAGTGATCCAGTACAGAGGGATCTGGGTGTCCTTGTGCATGAATCTCAGAAAGCAGGCACACAGGATAGCAGGCAATAAGGAAGACAACTGGCAATTGCTAAAGGAATGGCACATATGAGAAAGGAAGTGTTGCTGCAACTGCATTAGTGTTTCTGCATCCAGAGTACTGTGTAGAGTTTTGGTCCTCTTACTTGAGAAGGGACGTAGTTGCATTGGAGACAGTTCAGAGGAGAATCACAAAATTGATTCCAGAGATGAGGAGTTTGTCTTATGAGGAGAGATTGAGCAGTATTGCCTGATGCTGTCTGGAGTTTAGGAGAATTTGAGGACAGCTAATTGAGGGATATAAGATAGTGAAGGGGGGGATTGACAAAGGAAATGGAGAGAGGATGTTTCCTCATGTGGGGCAATCTAGAACGAGAGGTCAAGGTGGCTCAGCAGTTAGCAATGCTGCCTCACAGTACGAGCGACTTGAGTTCAATTCCACACTCGGACAGCTGTGTGTGTGGAGTTTGCATGTTCTCCCTGTGCCTGTGGGTTTGCTCTAGGTGCTTTGGTTTCCATCCACAGTCCAAAGATGTGCAAGTTGGGTGGATTGGCCATGCTAAATTACCGTAGTGTTCAGGCACGTATAGGTTAGGAGGGTTAGCCAAAGGAAATGCAGGGTATGGGGATCAGTCTGGGTGGGATACTCTTTGAAGGGTTGGAATGGGCTCAATGGGCTGAATGGCTTGTTTCCACACTGTTTGAGATTCTATGGATTTCACCGGAATTAGTTTGGGGCAGATTGAAAACAGAGATGAGGAGGAATGTCTTCTCTCAAAGTGGGGGAAGGGGTGGTGCATGAAACTGTAGAAATTCACCCACCCTCCATAGTGTGTGGGGGATGCCGAGACACTGAATAAATTGAAGGAGGGGACAGATTTTTAATCAGTGATGGGTTAAAGGGAATGGGGGCAGGAAAGTGGAGTTGAGGCCAAGATGTGATCTACCACAGTCATACGGAATGGGGAGCAGGCTTTTGAATGACTGAATGGATTTCTCCTGCTCCTAGCCCTCACATTCTCAAAGTGACACGTACCTCGCACATCCACATGTATGTAAGCTGATGTGTACACAGGACCATTGGGATAATCAACAAAACGCACTTGACATCGATACCGTCCTGTATCTTCAAATGTAACCCGCTCCTTTTGAAAAGAAACACTTTTATTTATTGTCTGGATCTCAGCCATAACAGAACCTTCCCGATAAAATGTGTAAACGAACTTATTGTGCGTGGGGTAAGTGCAGTTACAACTCAGCCTCAATGTCTGTTCATACCACAGGGGTTCTGGCTCAGACTCAATCCTCATAGTCGAATCAGGAGCTGTCAAAACAGAAAGGACTCGAAATAATAACAGGATATAAGCACCAACCAGACCAATCAGCTACTTGCTGCTCATCAAATCTCCACTCGTACACACCCGCTTTGACTCCACCTCATCGTCCAACATGACTTTCTCTTCTGCTTCAGCAAGCAGCTGTGTAACCAATGCTTCCAATGTGTGTTAGAAAACTATTTTTCAGAACGGGCAGTGAGTTTTGCTTTCTCAGAGTCCTTTGTCCACTGTCCAAGATACAGAAAAAAAGATTGTGTAATTCCCAGAAGCATCCCATTGACAGAAAGAATACAGGAACTGGATATTCTTTAAATGGAGAAAGACTGCATAAAGCGATAGGACAGAGGAATTTGGGGAGTCTTCGTCCATGAATTACAACAAAAAAGCGAGCATCAAAGTTCAGCACGTCATAGGATGACTTGTCATTATTTTCAAAGGGAATGGCGTATAAAAGGTGGGAGGTTTTGCTAAAACTATACAGGGCATTAATCAGACCACAGATGCGATACAGTGAACAGTTTGGGCCCCACATCTAAAGAAGGACAGACTGGCATTGGAGGCAGTCTGGAGAATATTCACTCAGTTGATCCTGCATATGGAGAGACCACCTGGTGAGGAGGAGGTTTAGTAGGTTGGGCCTGTCCTCATTGAAGTTTAGAAGGAAGAGAGGCAACCTTATTGAACATTCTTAGAGGAACATGACAGGGGAGATACAGACATGGGTTCTTTCCCCTTGTGTGGGAGAGTCTGGGACCAAAGGGGCATAATCTCAGAATACAGGGGTGAGGCGCCCATTGAAGATGGAGATGAAGAGGAATTTCTTCTGTCCGAGGGGAACGAATCTGTGGAATTCTTTACCACAGAGGACTGTCGAGGTTGAGTTGTTGAGTATATTCAAGATTGAGATTTTTTAATCTGAAAGGGGAATCGAGGGTTATGGGGGAAAGTAGATGATCAGATCGGCCGCGATCTCATTGTGCGGTGGAGCAGACACAATGGGCTGAATAACCTCATTCTGATCCCATGTCTCCAGAATCTGAGAACGTCAGTGTGACAAGTCACTGCTCTGCCGAGATACCAGTTAGCACCGGCTACATGCGGACTAAGATACTGCTGAGGTCTACAGTTCCTTCTTTGATGCACCAATTTAATGTTTGAAAAGGAGAACCAACCATTTCATAATGTTCTGCATTCACTGTGGAAGAGAAACTGTGCAGTGGGAAGTATTTAACAAAGGATTAGAAGAATGCCTAACACATGGTCATGGAGTCACACAGCTCTGGAACAGACCCTTCAGTCCAACCTATCTATACTGACCATAATCCACAACTAAACTAGTTCCACCTGCCTGGGCTTGGCCCAGAGACCTGCAAATATTTCCTATTCATGCACTTAATCCAAATGTCTTTCAAATGTTGTATCTGTACCCACATCCACCACTTCCACTGGAAATTCATTCCAAATATGAACCACTCTCTATGTAAAAAAAATTGCCCTCATGTCATTTTCAAACCACTGTCCTGTCACTTTAAAAATATGCCCCATAGTCTTGAAATCCTTCATCCAAGCAAAAAAGACACCTTATGTATACCC